CTATTATCTTGCAAGGGGAGGTAATTACTCAAGATTTTTGCTGATTGATCTGGAAAACGCCGACGTCGTCTTGGGTATGCAGTGGCTTCAGTCTTTAGGAGACATGGAGGTCAATTGGGAGAAGTTGCTGGTTAACTACAAGAGTAATGGTCAGAGGGTGGCACTACAGGGTGACCCTAGCCTTTGTGGGTTTCCGACCACCAAGGAATCTATATTCTTTAACCTTGAGGACAAGGTTAATTTTAAAGGAGGAAGTATTGAAGCGTGTCGCCGCCGACCGGCTGAGGGAGGGCCGGTGACCCCATGGCGCGCGGAAGCCGCCGGAATGGCTTGAGCGGAACCGGTCCAATTCTAGACCGGTTTGGCTCGGGTCAGGCCTGAGCTGGGCAGTTCACCTTGGGTAGCCCACTAGTGGGTTTGGTTTGGTCTTTTGCTTGCTATAAGTAGGGATTAAGGGGGGATTTCTAGGGTTATGCAAAAATTGGGTTTTCTCTTAGCCACCTTATTTTCTTTCTCTAAGTTTTCTAGGGTTTGTAGTGGGAGACCTTGTCCTTCTCGAAGTGGACAAATTGTATCTTGTTTTCTCTTGGATTTTAAATGCAAAGGTTCTTGCTCTTCATCCCATCTCTCTTGTGTTTATTTCTCTTTGATTTGGTGGAGAAATCATATCTTTGAAGGAGCATTAGGGCAAACCCAAACTTGGGAACCCTAGGGCATATCAATAGTCTTGAAGAATAGGAAGCAGTGATATGTCATGTCATCATAAATAATAATTTGATGATCCAATACCTTCTTAGTCAACAAAACAATCAAGTTTTTGTAGGCGGTTTAGTTACAGGGCATACTTTCATCAACTGTGATTGGAAGAGCGCAAATCATCGACTGTTCAATGATTAATTCTCAGGCCCCCATTTTATAATGATGTTATATTTTAACGGAGATATCGAATGTCTCAATTGTTGTTCCTTTGTATATCAAATGTTGTTAAAGCTTATGATAATTACTTATACCAATGAATGGATCGCGTCAGTAGATTTGGATCGTCACCCCTTCAAAAAGTACCAGTTGTGTTTCAGATATTGGCACATAAACTACTAACCAAGGTTATGAAAATTGGACCAGACAACGAACCAGAAGGAGAGTTTAGGGGTTCGATGGTTTGACAGGGGTCGAACTATATGATATGATAAATATTTTTTATATTTAAATATTATAATAATGATATAATCATTTGTAAATATATAATAAAAATTGAACATAATCATAACATGAAGCATAAAAATATTAAATAAATGCAGTAAATTTAAAATTAAAAATATATGTTTCGAGCAACTGACCTCTTTGTAGTCATAGCTTGAAAGAATAAATCAAAATTTCTCTTGACATCTTATAGTTTATATCTCCAATTGGTAAAGCTCTGGAAATAAATATATATATAAGTTAGTCATTATAATTGTACACATATATGGAATAAATAAGCAAAATATATTAATATATTTTATTTGAACACACCCCCAATTATGGCAAGATTTTGACACTTTATATACTAAATAATAACAAAAAGAATACACATCCATAATACAAATGTGAAGTTAACAATGTTTCTCTCTCTTATTTCAATTGTTACAATAATTTGACAAAAGGAAAATCAAATATCTCATAAATTTGCGTCATCAAAGCTATCCCCATAAGTTGAGTCTCCAAGTCTCTCTTCACCAAAATTTGCAGACCCAAATGCATCTAAATATTGAAGTCGATTATGTCATATGCAACTCCTTCTCTAATTAACTTTCACTAACAAATACAACAACAACAACATCAAGCCTTTATCCCACTATGTTATTCATTGTGCCCTGTTAAGAGTCAAATTTTCATTTAAATCTAATAAAGAAAGGCTATTTCTAATATTTTCAACTAAGTCTGCTTAGATCTATCTCTACCTTTCTTAACATAAGCCAAATCTAATACATCTACTCTCATAACCTGGTCATCGGAAGGCCGTCGTTTTATGTGACCAAACAATCTAAGATGACTCTCTCTAATCTTATCTGTCACTGGAGCTACTACAACCTTTTCACGTATATGCTTGTTTCATATCCTATCTCTAAGAGTAAAGCCACTCATAAGGCTAAGCATCCTCATTTCTGCAACACTTAACTTAATATTATGTCTCTTTTAATGGCCTACATTATGGTGAATTCATCGATCGTCATAGACAAATCAAGGATAAAGATGCTCACATCGCACTTTGAAATGTATTAATTAATCATTTGTGGGAGCAATATACTAATTATAATGTCTAGTTGTATGTGTATCTTTTTTTTTTCATTTATATTTATGTATTTTAATGTAATTCTCATTATATTGAATAAATATTTATTTTACTGAGTATTTGTATTTCAAATTAATTTATCGAGTAATATTTATTTTTGTTAAAAAAATTATAAAGTGAGTCTAATTAGACAAATATAAATTTAAGAATATGATCGAAAATAAATAAAGACACAGAGATGAGAAAGAATATACAAAGAATATTTTTTTTTTTATATTAGAAATATAATTAGATGAATTATTGTTTTATACGATTGTTATTATATTTCAAGTAGAAAATAATTTTTTTTGTTAGAGATGCACAAACCAGATAAAATATAAAAATATCTTTTTATTTGTTGTTCCGATGGACACTCGCTGGAGAGATGCCTGATGACTCCTACTGGCATTTTCCTCACACCATCGCAACTTTCAAGGCTACCACTCTCTTGCTGGCAAAATTATTACGAGTGGTCAGCGGTCACCGTCTGGAGGCCAATCAAGATGCACCACATTACCAATTTACTGTGTACCACTGTGTATCGATGCATCCTGATTGGCCTACGGACGGTCCATCAACCTCCTATAATAATTTATCCCATTGCTGGCACCTCAACTCCAAATTGTTGTCAACATTACCTCCATTGGCAATCAACGCATCTAAAACGCTACTCCGACAAACACCTTTCAAACTGTTGACAGTAGTCTGTCTTCTCCAACTCAATGTCGCCACTAGTAACTTCGAATCTCTACTTCCTAGTTTTCCTCTAACGAGCTTACCTAACATTTGAATGTCTCTTAAATCTACGACGATGATTCAATAACTAATTTGACACGGGGGACCATGAAGACCGTCACCAATCACTCGACCATTCATGGACACTTAGCTGGTAGGGATGGGTCAAGACGAAGCAGCCGAAAAAGTGGTATCCATCGATGCAGGAGCCAATGGCAACACCAAAGAGAATGGCATGAGAAAACTCCATAATAAAGGAAAAGGACGTAATGTCATCCATGACATGATCCAGAGTCAAATGTATAGTGATCTAGCTCAACGATGCATGTGATAGGAAGAACAGAAGTCCATAACAAGAGTGACAAAAAAATAGATAGTTGCAAGAGGGACGGTTGAGCCATTGGAGGAATCCAAGCTATGAGTCCAACTCTAATATGGGCTACACAAGCTTTAGATGTCTTGAAAATTGTTGATAAGGATTCGTCTCCAATCTTGTCTTTAAATATTCCTACTCCATGCATTTACAAAATTTATATTTCATGCTCTTTTTTTTTACAGAATTTTTGCATCTTTATCCTAACTGATTTAATATTTGGGTTCGAAGGCAAAAACTTTAGAGAAAGAAGCTTACCCGGCTCTGGATAAACTAACCTCTAAAATTAGTACTCTCAATTTGGAGCATGTTCGTCAGATCAAAAGCCGTTTGGTGGCAATTACAGGACGTGTTCAAAAGGTTGTTTCCTTTATTCATTCTGGTTAAATTATTTAATTCATGTCTTTTGTTTCTTATTTTATTTTAAACGCTAAGCTTATTCTTAATTTTTTTGTTAAATTATCCTTTTGAGCATCTATTTGTGGACTAATTTGGCTATTTGATGAAGGTTGGTGATGGGGTTTAGATCACTGAAGGGATTAGTTTGTGGATGAGGGACTCTTCTAAGGTAATTAGAAGAGTAAGGCTTAATTTGAAGGAGTTGGTTTAAGGTGGAGGTAAAGTTTATGGAGTTTGGATGATAGGCCAACACTTTATATAATCTGTCTAGAACTGAGGACCCGCTCTTCTCCCTAATGATTCTTCTTCTCCAGTTATGCAACTCCATTAAACTTGTACTTGATTTAAATATGAGGATGCCTACTTTGATCCTTTCTAGATAGCTCTGTTCATATACACCTCTAATCTTCTAAAACTAAACACTGCAGTTTTGTAATCAAGAATACCTGACATATATCCACTTAAAACTCTATGTTGTAACAAGTAGCTAAACTTCGAGTTGCCCGCTCTTAAACGTATAATCTTCCGGAACGAAGCACTGCAGGTCGACTGACGAGGATATGGCTGAAATGTATTTCCTTTGTTGTAGGTTAGGGATGAGCTTGAACACTTTTGATTTGATTGACAAGCATTTCCTTTGTTGTAGGTCAGAGATGAGCTTGAACACTTACTGGATGATGATGAGGATATGGCTGAAATGTATTTGACAAACAAGCTTTTGCAGCAACAACAATCAAATGGATCTCCTCAGTCTTCTCAAATGGATCAATCTAGCAGTTTCAATGGTGCAAGGTATAATGAATTGAATTTTATGGTTTCATTTGGGATGGCTTTTTTATTGATTCCTAAAGCAGTTTTTTATATAAAAATTAAAAATTTTGTATTAAAAAATTGTTTTAAGAATAAGTAAAAAAGCCGTCCCAAATAAATCCTAAGTCTGTTTTTGATAATGGAATGGATTACTAATGCTCCAAGTTGGGGATGATGTACTAATGATGGTTATAAACTTGTTGACATAATTGTCTTACTGTGACAATGCGAATATATCACAACATCAGGACTAGAAGGAAAATTCAGACCCACAACTAAACTATTTTACTTGTCATATAGGGGTACTTAAGCTCTTCCTAGTATAATAATTTGAGTGTGGAGTGCAATCTTGTATGGAAGATCTCCCTGTTGGATCATCCTATGAAAGATGAACTTAGCTTTATAGCTAATTGACCCATTCTTGAAGTTATAGAAACTTTTCTCATTGGGATGATTTTCATCTTAAGCTCATTATCTTATTAGTGAATGTATTGGACAACTCCATTTCTCATAGAGTCTTCCCTTTAGTCCACCAACAAGGTAAACACTAATGAGTTATGGTAAGCGAGAAAGAGATTATTGTAGTAGATCCCTCCATTAATTGATGCAAAGATTTCAAGCTCTCATCTTTTTTCTGATCATCAGGATTCCTGCTGAAACTTCGTCGGACGAAAATGATATCGAATATCACAGCAACTATGTAATTTCTGGTTCCAGTTTGGTCTTTGGGGATGGACATGAAAGCCATACCTTCAGCACGAGAACTAGCTTCAAACATCTCGATGTGGAAGAGCTTGAGATGCTCTTGGAAGCTTATTTTGTACAGATCGACAGCACATTAAACAAACTATCCACGGTATGTGCCTATGAACCTATACGTGCAGTTTCTCCGATATATATATCATTCCCTTAGGTACTAAAAGCTCTTCCAACATCATAAAGGTAAGCTTTATATTTCTATGTTCAACTAAAAAGTATATGACTTCATTACACAAACAAGATGAATCATGCAGCTTAATACTTAAAACTAAGGCTTCAATTTTTTAGTACAAAAATTTTCTGAATTAGAAATTTTTGTGCTTGAAAACTGTTTTAGAAAGAAGCAAAAAAATTGTCTCAAACAAAGCCTAAGTTTTTAGATCTAAGAGATGTATGTTAAGTCTTGTCTACAAAGAAAGAACACGGAAGCTAAACATAACAAAAAACATAATCTCCTCCAATTCCTTTCCACAATGTTGACAAGGGGGAAATCGACATTTAAATTAAAGTTATATACTTACTTTCCAATTGAAGTAAAAGGCAAATTATGTATTTTAATAGTCCTCCGACTATTAATATATGACTGTCTTAACCTCAGATTATCACGTTGCTCTAATCTGATCCCTCGATTACATTAAATTGCTTCAAAATAATCTTTTTGTGACTAAATTGGGATCAATTTTTTATAATTGAGGATTGAGGAACTCACTTTTGTATCATTATGAGTATTATTTTGGATCAATTTTGTATAGTTGATCGACTATATTGGCACAACGTGAGCCTAAATTGCCACTCACGAATAGTCCAAGCACTTTTTTTTTTGGGGATTTTTATGTATTTTCATACAATTCCTTCCTCCAATTGAACAGTCAATATCCATATACAGCTTAACTCTAGAAACTGATGAGAATGTATCATAAACATATCTACAGAATGGTGTTAGTTGCAGAGAAACAGAATAAGCTTATTGTAATTTATCTCTCCTCCATCTTTGCAGCTGAGGGAATATGTCGACGACACCGAGGACTACATAAACATAATGCTTGATGATAAGCAGAACCATCTATTGCAGATGGGAGTGGTCCTGACCACCGCCACCTTGATCGTGAGCGCCTTTGTCGTTCTGGTCGCTATTTTCGGCATGAACATCAAAGTTGATCTGTTTGATGAGAATAAGGCCGGCACGACGGAGTTTGTGTGGACGGTGGGCGGCGGTGCGGCGGGGAGCTTGCTGCTATATGTGGTTGCCGTTTCATGGTGTAAGCACAAGGGGATACTTGACTGAGCAGCAGTTGTGTTATTGGCATGGTAAGGTCTGTCTGTCTCTTGTTGTTGTAAATGGTGGGGCTGTAAAAAAATGATAGTTTATTTTTTGATGATTGAATTGTGTTATTTTTTTTTTCATTTTGCAACTATGTACTGAGTGGAATGTTATTGAAGAAATAAAGAGAATGGCTGATTTTTATCTGGTAATTGGAGAGAGAATGATGGGTTTCGTCATAGTAGGATGGAACTTCATTAATGGGATTTAGTTATTTTTTTCATGCATCTTATGTCAATTATGTATGTCATTGAATGTTTAAGGTTTATGTCTCAATTTTACTATTTTTTTAAAGTAGTTTTTTATTACAATTTTTTTTTAAAATTTAAAATTTCTATATTAAAAATTGCTTCAGAAAACAGTAAGAAAGATGTCTCAAACAAAGGCTTCGTTTCAGATAGTTTTTTTACTGTTTTTTAAAGCAGCTTTATGATATAAAAATTAAAATTTTGTACAAAAAAGTTGTTTTAAACAATAATAAGAAAGCCGTTCCAAACGAAGCGGGAGCTCAAAGTCTAGACATGTGTTGCTTATTCAGAACTTGGTTTTATTAAATTTTATGTGAATCATGCAATGATTTTCTTGACTATACCCAATGGTGTAGCTTGGAGCTTTGGTCCTTGGAAATGTAATAAAGTGGAGAATTCATGAAGCTCAAGTGCTTAGGTTTATGTAAGTTAATAGAGTACTCAATATCTCAATGATGAAGAATAGAGTTGAAGTTAGTTTAAAATTTTAAATTATTTAAAAAACTATTTTAAATGATTAAAAATTATTCAAAAATTTGATGTAATTTTTTATAATTTATACAGCTTGATTTTTTAAGTACATTATTTCTTTCTAATTAATTAATTATTTTATTAATTACCTCTCTGCCAGTAATTTGGATCATATGTCACAATTCAATCAAACATAACTCATGCATCAAGTGATTTATATCATGTTGGATTGCAATAATTCAGTTCCCAAGATATATTTGAAAGGAATTTCATTTCATTTTATTTATTAATAGAACACAGAGTCACTAGATATTAAATTAATAATGCAAAGAATATCTCATGAACATCAAAATCATCACTCATCATCATCATCATAAAAAATACATCAGATTACAAAAGATTGTGATGTAGGTAATCGAAAGAGGGGGCTCTCAGCAAGCAACGAATGAAACAGTAACTCACAAAACAGGGGATGCTTATCAGCAAGCTAAATGGATATATTTCTTGTCTACCTTTCTCCTCCAAGCATTACAGTATATATATAAACTAAGTACTACTAAAAGCAAAGCATAACTAAAAGTGAGCTAGTACTACCAGGTACTAAAAAGGGAAAAACAATAGTGGAGAAATAGCTAATGCAGCAAAAGGACTAAAGCATAACAGAACCGGTATAATACTCCCTGAGGGCTATGTAATATATGATGATCCACATCAGGACTCCCCCGCCGACGAAGGTGCTGCTGTGCGTCGTTCGCTGGGTAGTAAGGATGTATGTCGACGACGTTGAACGTAGAAGCTGTTCCAAATTCGGCTGATAAATCTATGACGTAGGCGTTGTCATTTATCTTCTGTAAAATGGGAAAAGGACCGACTTTGTGCCTTCCCAATTTGGAGTATGTGCCCGCGGGAAGCCTTTCACGGCACAATTTGATCATCACTAATTCACCCGGCTAGAATATTCTTTCTTGGCGATTGGTATAAGCAGCCAGTTTGTAATTTTCGTTAGATGATAGCAACTTGAGTCGCACATTTTGGAGCATTTATGAGAACTGATCAACTAACTCAGCGGCTTGCCGGCTGTGACATTTGGGAAGAATGGCGACATCAATTGTATGATTAGGTGGCTTTGTATAGACAATGTGAAAAGGAGAAGTACCTGTTGAACGGTTGGTCATGCTGTTGTAGGCGAACTTCGCCTGGCTCAACAGTTCATCCCAAAGCTTTGGTTGTTCTTGTACTAGACATCTCAACATATTGCCCAAGGTTCGATTTACCACTTCGGTTTGGCCGTCGGATTGCGGATGATAAGCTGAGCTCAAGTTGACAGCAGTTTTGAGTATCTTCCACAATTCACGCCAAAAATGGCTGATGAATTTAACATCCCTGTAGGAAGTTAAACTGCATGTGATGCCATGTAACCGAACAATCTCATTAAAAAATAAATGTGCAATATTAAGGGCGTCAAAAGTTTTTCGGCAAGCAATAAAGTGCGCCATTTTTGAGAATCTATCCACTACTACGATGATAGAGTCATTACCTCGCCGCGTTCTTGGTAGCCCGAGAACAAAATCAAGATTGTGATCCTCTCATATAGTCTCCGGGACGGGTAAGGGAAGGTACAGACCTGCATTTTGTTTGACACCCTTATAAGCTTGGCACACCGGGCAACATTCAACAAAATGAGCAACATCTCTTCTCAAGTGCGGCCAAAAGAAGCGCAATTGTAACTGCTCAAGCATCTTGTTGCGGCCTACATGTGCGGCGAGTCCACCGCAATGGATTTCTTGAATAATTGTTGGCACCAAGATGATTCCGGGATACACATAGCCAGGGGCGGAACCAACCTTTCATCTTAGGGGGGGGCAAAATTTTCTTATTATAGACAAATATTGCTGTTTAACTTCAAATATGCATATAAATATATTGAATCAGCTTGAATCACATTTTGACCAAGCCATATTCACTCGAAATCAACTAAACAAAAAGTTCAGGTTGAGATATTGGCATATAACTCAACTTGGAGTTCATGGATTGTCTGCTAACAATGTTTTTGGCGATGTTCTCATTTTCAAGCTTCAGAAAAATCTCAAAATTTTCAAATGCTGTCTACTGCATGATTCTCTGCTAACAATGAATACTTCTGCTATCATAATGTGAGATTTCTCTCCAAATTTCTAACCAAAGCAGGAATTATCATCAAAAGAAGTCAGGTAAATGCTAATTAGGGCTTTTGCAGTAGTTTTCTGTTACTACTTATGTTAAATTCCCTAGCTATTCTCTCTACAGATCATGATCAGTGCTAAAGCTCAGAGGAAAGTTGCAAGGGAGATCAAGACTGCGCGTGCCTTAGGGCTTATGCCTTTTACCATTCTATGGCTTATGGGTAATTTTATGATAATAAAAAGGGAGTAGCTGGACTTACCGGAGCCTGCAGAGCGTGAGCGACTGAGCGCAGAGATGCCGAAGAAAAATGAAGTTCTCGCCTCCTCCAAATCCGAGTGAGCAAGCGATTGATCAACGCAGAGAAAACCCACGAGCACCACGAACAGCAATGCCGATTGACGAGCTCACGACGATCGACGGGATTCAAGCGTCAAGCGGAGAGAAGAGAACCTAGGGCGCACGGGCGGAGTCTCGAGCAAAAGAATCGGGCGGAAATGCCAAAAACAACGTTCAATTTTTAACCTGTTGAGGGGCAATTTACTAAAAAACCCATCCTTTAACACAAGTTTTAATTTTTTTAGGGGGGAGGCAATTGCCCCCCCGGGCTGGGCATGGTTCCGCTGCGAAGGCTCTTTCTCTCTCTCAAATTTGCTTAGAAGAAAAAAGCTTGGAATCTTTCCTTTTTCATCTTAACAAAGCACTCATGAGTCAAGGAAATCAAACACTTATCTTTTTTTTGCTTATTTTACACTACCTACAAACCCACGACTTTTTTCTCCCTCAATTTTTTGCAAAATGAAAATGACAAACTGAAGAGCTCCTGTGTGAATAGGACTACCACTCTACCTGTTCTTCCCCAATTCAGGTGCTGGAGTGGAGTGAGGATGGCGAAAGACCATCTAACTCTCTAAGACAAATCAATCCAATAGCTGTTTTCATGATTTCCATAGATCTTGAGAGCTTGCAATCATGGCTTTCATATCGAGGAGAACCTGGGAAGTGGGAAGGATGAGGAACAGGCAGCTACTTTATTTTTGTTTTGAATTCAAGCCATTTGATCTGTTATTTAAACAAATTTGTAACGGTATTGTATAGCTATATTTAAAAATAAATAATCGAACTGATCAAATGAAATTCAGCTTAGCTGAATTCACCTTGGTTTGAGGGAATTTCAGCTCAATTCAATCTAGTCATAGTAGATTGGCATTAATTGGGTCAACTTAATGCGAGCCGGTTTAATTTCATATGTTTACTGATGTGTTATGCACAAAGAGTTATAAGAGCTTGATCATATATCTATTTTATTATCTGTGAGGTGTTGGGAGGTATAAGGGCTTGAAGGACTGATCTTATTTGATGAGATTGGATAATGAATCTGATGTGATGTATCTATATCTATTATTTGTGAATGTGTGTTATTTTGTTATCTGATTGAATTGAACTAAAAGTTGTTAAACTTCTAATGTGTGAAACACTGTAGTTAGTAGAACTATTTTGAACCTTTTGTTGCTTTTCTATAATTTTCTGTTTGGATAATCTATCTTTATATAGTTGTAATTGTAGAGTAATCTATTTATATTACTATTTATTTATTATTAAAAATTTAGATAGGTTCCATATAATCTACTATGTTGTGGTTTGTTCTTATTTATTTTTTATGCATGTGTTGATTTCAGGCCACAGAAAGAGAAAAGGGTAGATTGAGTAGATGGAGCTTGCAGATTTCTAGTGGTTAGATATGTTTTATGTTAGTCAATTTGATGTGGATCATCATATATTACATAGCCCTCAGAGAGTATTATACCGGTTATGTTATGATTTAGTCCTTTTACTGCATTAGCTATTTCTCCACTATTGTTTTTCCCTTTTTAGTACCTGGTAGTACTAGCTCACTTTTAATTATGCTTTGCTTTTAGTAGTACTCATTTTATACATATATTGTAATGCCAGGAGGAGAAAGGTAGACAAGAAATATATCCATTTAGCTTGCTGATAAGCATCCCCTGTTTTGTGAGTTACTGTTTCATTCGTGCTTGCTGAGAGCCCCCTCTTCCGATTACCTACATCAGTATTTTGGTATTAGAACCTGGCGCTTTGAGGAATGGCCGACGGCAGTAGACGAGGGACTGGCGATGACGATCGCAGTCTTGATGCTCTTTGGGACACTCACAACAACCTCAACCAGCGGATGGATGAGGTATCCTTCGATTTGTTCAGGTTATCTGTGGATATGCGTCGCCATTTCAGGCCCTGAGAAACGACATGGGAAGACAGCGGCCAGCTAGGTAGCCACCGGCGACATTCGACTTTCGTGCTCGAGGTCGTGGGCGAAGACGACGCGCACCTATTGTGTCAGAAATTATAGAATCGGAGGAGGACGATTTAGAGTTCTTCGATGATGAAATACCTTCAAACTCCGAAGGCGAGGCGGCACCAGTCCAGATTCCACGTAGACGTAGAGGCACACCGAATAATCGACCTCCACACATTTTCCACTCATTGCCCGGTCATATACGGATCTGGTGGTATCGGCTGCGAAGATCAAGCTTCGAAAAAATGACCGCCCCCGCAAGCCTTTCCAAAAGTTCATCAATTCTAGGAACCAGAAATTTGAATTTGATCGTAATTTTGTTAATGGCTCTGATGTCCATACACATATGCCACGATCCATCTTTCTTAGGTACCAAGAGTGCTGGAACGACGCACGGGCTAAGGCTGGGTTGTATCAATTGCTTCTCTAACAATTCATCTACGAGCTCTTGGAGTACTGCATGATCCTTGGGACTTAATCAGTAATGTGCCACATTTGGAAGGGTAGCTCCTGGAACCAAGTCAATCTGATGTTGAAGAGATCGTAGAGGAGGCAACGCAGCAGGCAATGTTGAGGGTGCTATATCCGTGAATTGGTTTAGTAGTGGCTGCAGCCACGGGCACTATAACGGGATACTTGAGTGTAGTATGCTCTCGAATAATCAGCGCCATTAAGGGAGAGGAATCATGGCTACAACGAACAAGTGTGGTGCCGGAAACCAACTGCATTATGGCCGCTTGGCGTTAGTAAGTCCACCAATTTCAGGGAAATACGGTAGCAACTTGAGACGACGGCCCTTCCAATCGACGAGTATGAGTTTGCCTATCCGTCATAAATTGCACCCACGTCAAACTGCCAAAAATGACATGGCACACATCCATATCCAGTATGTCGCACAGCACTTCACAGGTATAGTGTTTGCCAATGGAAAATGTGACTCGGCACATCTCCAAGACCGGAATGTCCATTCCTTTTTTCACCCAACTGATTTTGTATGGGTTAGGATTCTTAGTAGTCTTGAGCTGGAGAGCCTGCACTACGGAACGAGCAATGACATTTTCAGTGCAGCCGCTGTCAATTAACAAGTCACATACTTTCCCATTGATAGTACAACGGGTTTTGAACACTGAGTTCCTTTGGGAAGTGGGTTTCTGCCTTGGGGCCAATAGCATTTTCTCCATAACACAAATTAACGGCTCTCCTACATCAGGTGAAATTTCTTCTACTGTAGTAATTGGCTCCTCATCTACGGCTGGCTCCTCCTCTCCGTTGGCTATGGCAAGCTGAAGCTGAGGTCGATTAGGACATTCATTCGATTTGTGGCCCACCTGGAAGCACCGGAAACACTAAATTGTGGACGGGTGGGAATACGGGTTCTCACGTATCGGCCCCTTAAATTTTGGCTACGGCCTTGGCTCATCATGAGGTCTTGCTGATGATCTAGGTTGTGAACTATGCTGTACAATCAATGGGGCTTGTGGTCCGGTTGTAATTTTACTAACTAGTGTGGCAGGTTTTAGTGCTTCAGCATTATAATCGGTATAGGACCTCCTGGAGAAAGGCTGCTTGTGTCGATTATTCGGTGTGCCTACGTCTGCGTGGAATCTGGACTGGTGCCGCCTCGCCTTCAGAGTTCGAAAGTATTTCATCATCGAAGAACTCTACATCGTCCTCCTCCGATTATGTAATTTCTGACACAATAGGTGCGCATCGTCTTCGCCCACGACCTCGAGCACGAAAGTCGAATGCCGCCGGTGGCTACCTAGCTGGCCGCTGTCTGCCCATGTCGTTTCTCAGGGCCTGAAATTGGCGACGCATATCCACAGATAACCTGAATAAATTGGAGGATACCTCATCCATCCGCTGGTTGAGGTTGTTGTGAGCGTCCCAAAGAGCATCAAGACTGCGATCGTCATCGCCAGTCCCTTGTCTACTGCCGTCGGCCATTCCTCAAAGTGCCAGGTTCTGATACCAAAATACTGATGTAGGTAATCGGAAGAGGGGGCTCTCAGCAAGCAACGAATGAAACAGTAACTCAAAAAACAGGGGATGCTTATCAGCAAGCTAAATGGATATATTTCTTGTCTACCTTTCTCCTCCAGGCATTACAGTATATGTATAAACTGAGTACTACTAAAAGCAAAGCATAACTAAAAGTGAGCTAGTACTACCAGGTACTAAAAAGGGAAAAATAATAGTGGAGAAATAGCTAATGCAGTAAAAGGACTAAATCATAACAGAACCGGTATAATACTCTCTGAGGGCTATGTAATATATGATGATCCGCATCAAATTGACTAACAGAAAACATATCTAACCACTAGAAAACTGCAACCTCCATCTACTCAATCTACCCTTTTCTCTTTCTGTGGCCTGAAATCAACACATGCATAAAAAATAAATAAGAACAAACCACAACATAGTAGATTACATGGAACATATGTAAATTTTTAATAATAAATAAATAGTAATATAAATAGATTACTCTACAATTACAACTATATAAAGATAGATTATCCAAACAGAAACTTATAGAAAAGCAACAAAAGGTTCAAAATAGTGTTACTAACTACAGTGTTTCACACATCAGAAGTTTAACAACTTTTAGTTCAATTCAATCAGATAGCAAAATAACACACATTCACAAATAATAGATATAGATACATCACATCAGATTCATTATCTAATCTCATTAAATAAGATCAGTCCTTCAAGCCCTTATACCTCCCAACACCTCACAGATAATAGAATAGATATATGATCAAGCTCTTATAACTCTTTGTGCATAACACATCAGTAAACAAATGAAATCAAACCGGCTCGCACTAAGTTGACTCAATCAATGCTAATCTACTATGACTAGATTGAATTGAGCTGAAATTCCCTCAAACCAAGGTGAATTCAGCTAAGCTGAATTTCATTTAATCAATTCGATTATTTATTTTTAAATATAGCTATACAATACCGTTACAAATTTGTTTAAAAAACATATCAAATGGCTTGAATTCAAAAGAAAAATAAAGTAGCTGCCTGTTCCTCATCCTTCCCACTTCCCAGGTTCTCCTCGATATGAAAGCCATGATTGCAAGCTCTCAAGAACTATGGAAATCATGAAAACAGCTATTGGATTGATTTGTCTTAGAGAGTTAGATGGTCTTTCGCCATCCTCACTCCACTCCAGCACCTGAATTGGGGAAGAACGGGTAGAGCGGTAGTCCTATTCACACAGGAGCTCTTCAGTTTGTCCTTTTCATTTTGCAAAAAACTGAGGGAGAAAAAGTTGTGGGTTTGTAGGTAGTGTAAAATAAGCAAAAAAAGATAA